TATATATATAAAATCCGTGTTCAAAACAAGACTGTCCCGAGTGAAATTTGAACGGCCAATTTCACTTGTAAAAGATTCATCCAATAATTAGTGTACGATAGGAGTTTTTGAGCTTGGGTGAACCAATGGCGGACCCAGGATTTTGTGCAAGCGGGTTCACTCTTAGAAATACATAACTTTAGTCGTAAAATAATAGTTGTCAAGTGAGTTCAAATAAAATATTTATACAAAATTTATGCAGCTTTAGTCGTAATTTATACATATACATAATATTATTTTTTGACGAAACGGGTTCAGTTGAACCCGCTTTTCACCATGTGCGAACACACATATATTTAAGTAATTTTAAGAAAATATAACATTATTATATATAATTAAAAAATAGAAGCATGAATTCACATGAACCACCTCCCTCGACCTAGATACGCCCCTGAAAAGGCCAATTATAGTGCAACTTTGTTTAAAAAAATATAATAATTCTTGACCATTATCCAATTTTCACCCAAATGCAATACCAAGTGGCAAGTGGTAATTCTTTACAGTATATTAGTGGAAAGACTAGAGTCAGTGCACTGATTTTGCACTATTGTCCATTCTCCCAAAATGCAATACCAAGTGTTAACACTTAACTGGTAATTACTTCTTTATAGTATTAGTAGAAAGACTATTTTTTATGGTTGTAAAACTTTTTACCTATGATTGTGATTGAAGTATCGTTATCCACTTTATGAGCTGAGAAAGACTTAAAATAATTTTTTATTTTATTTTAATGAGCATAAAATTAAATTTTTTGTTGTATCACTTTATAGGATAGGGTCACCTTACAAGCAAGCCATGATAAATCCATCCTAATCTTCATCTCCGTTAGCTAACAAACAATCTACTCTATTGTATTTAAGAAATGATTAATAAATTGCCAAATATTGTACACTCAACTAATTGGTTGACAAATAAAATGATCGGAATTGTTAACTTCATATATAGTCAACTAATGATTTGAAAATAACACTAGAGAATTCTGCTAGGGAATCTTTCTGGTCAAGAAAAATTTAGCTGTCATGCTTCCCCACTGCCTTACCTAGTGTGATGAACCTACTACAAAAGGTTGCTAACAAATTGTCCTTTTGTCATTACTTATTAGCTACCCTAGTAACGTAGCTACAATGAAAAAGGCCGCTGTTTCTTGAATGACTAAGCAATGTTGTGGTTTATATATATACGCCTAATTCATGCAATTGGATTTGTCAAAACACTAGTAATAATCACTTGTTTCTTGCCAAAGAAGGCGTTCAGTCTAATTCTTGCATTCGAATTTTTTTGTTTGTACTGAACCGTTTGTAGAATCAAATCCTGTCAAATGGCGCCTAAAATAAATGATGTAGCAACAACTTCTTTGTTATTTGACAAGAAGATAAAAGGTCGAAGGCCACTTCCTAAGAGAGGACAAGTTAAAACAAGGATAGCAGCCATGGCGTTGCATTCGCTGGCGGCCATATTCGCCACGATCGCCACTCCACCTTCAAATTCCGCTCCCAAATCCTAGTCCTCAGGAGATAAAGATGGTCATGACTTAAAAAAAAATTTGTGATGTAGGGAAAGCATGAATGTTCCTTTATGTGCGAGATAACAATGACAGGAGATTGACGAGTCGAGTGACCTCAAGAGTTTTAGAGAGTTTTGTGTAGTGTCAATTTCATTGATTTCTTGTATTTAGACATCTTTTTCCTCCCTATCTTGTAGGAGATTGACAAGTTAGAGTCGATTGTCGAATGACCTCAGGGGTTTTAGAGAGTTTTGTAATAGTATCATTTTCATTGAGTTCTTGTATTTAGACATCGTTTCCTCCCCATCTTGTGACAATTTTCCACTGTCCAGAGCAAATTTTCACCTACAATGCAAGGTTCAAATATTAAGATCAATGTATGTAACGGAATATGGCCTTCTCTTATAAAATTTTATTTTTGATGCTTGTCTATCATTTGCTTAACATCCTCCTGCCAAGCAACCCCTATGACACCAACATTTCTTTTGGTTTCTTTAGTCATCCATTGTTTTTAGAAAAAAATTAAATTAAAATACTTTGAAAGGAAATGGCAAACGGCTAAAATTCAAAAAAAAAAAAGGAAAAAGAAAATAATAAAGAATAGGATATAAGAAATAAGTAAACCTCGTGTAATCTTGTGCAATTCCTTTCCCCAAGTACAGAGCAAGGCAGAGAACATCAAGGCAACAATTTTAGGGAAAGAATAGGACAACCAGCAATTCCTTTCCTCAATGCCAAGGCATAAACCAAAGTCTTTACACTTTCTCAATCATGGGTTAATAAATAGATTATTACAGTTTCTATAGTGCTGCTATATCAATTAAAAATGGCATTTTCAGGCCAACTTCTCCCACATATTTTATGGTCCAAACCAGAGTTTAGGCATAGCCGGAGCATCCTTCCGTTAAAGGCTAACTATGAACCAGTCAAAATACTATCACAACGAAAACTTGATATACAAAGCATCAAGAGAAAATCAAACTGTTTGGTCACATTTTCAATGTCACATCCCGATAATGGCACGAGTCCATCTTCTCCATCCGAAACAATCAAGAAATTCTACTCTAGCATCAACAACAACGACCTGAACCAACTAGCACTACTCATATCTGAAGATTGTTTCTTTGATGATTTCTCCTATACTCGACCATTCAAAGGGAGAAAGGTAACCTCAATCTTCTCTCAGAAATATGAAAGTATAGTAACTTTGTCTAATTCTTGAAGCTCCTATTTGCAAATATATGCAGGAAGCTTTGAAACTTCTGGAGAAACTAACCACATGCATGGGTAAGAACACAAAGTTCTGCATTGAACAAATTTATGAAGGAGTTGATCTTACAACTGTGGTAAACTGGCACTTAGGTAAGGCCAAATCACCTATTTCTCACATTTAGAGAAAATGCATATAAGTTGAAACTTGAGAAACTATATTTTGGTAAATGCAGAGTGGAAGAAGAAACAGGTTCCTTTCACAAGAGGCTGCAGCTGCTACGAGTTATCAAGAGATGGTGAACAACTAATTATAAAGTAAATTTCAAACTTTTCTGAAGCCATGTTAACTTTTAAGACTACTACTTTGTACGCCGCACAAGTACTAAAAGTTCCAGAAATGGAAATTTTATGCAGGAAAGCTCAGGTAATCATTGAATCGCCAATCAAACCAGGAAGCTTTGCTTTGGTATGAACACCGCCAATTTTCTATATTTCAGAAAAAGAGCAAATTATACAATCTAATTCATCAACAAGATGTCTTTGTTCAGTTCCTATTTCATTAACACACGTGGTGTTCATGTTCTTGACAAAAAGCAGGACGTGTTCCAGACGGTCATTTCAGTGTTTGATACTTTCCCTGAGGCATCACGTATGTTGATTTCTTTAATATTCTTTATACTTTCACCAACAAGAGAAGAAAATATTCTCAACGGGACAAAAAACATTTCCTATGCAGGGTTGTTCTTGATGAATCCCCAAGTGGTACAAACTATCTACGATATGGCACTCAAGCCAAGCATAGGTCCAATTATTGCCTGGTACCGCAAGCTATGGAGTATCACAGTCACCGTTCTTACACTTATTTACAAGTTATTCCTTTACATTATAGAGATGTTCCACAAGTAGAAGATATGCACAGCTTGCCAATTCAAGACATCGGACAACATTTCAACGACTTATTTTTCCTACATAAAGATAGTAGACAAGATAGACTTCACATTTAACAAGACTCTAAAACCTTCAAAAGTTTCTTACTTCTATAGGCAGAAGAAGGCATATGCCATTAACCATCTCAGCTGTCAATCATCGTTGCTATCTCGTCTCGACCATGATTCAAGCAATGAAAGAGCAACTAGAGGTCCAAGGAAAGGAGGAATTGGAGGCGGCCTGCTAAAAGCAACAAGGGGTTCAATGTTCTCCGTCTTCATCTGGGCTTCTCCAGCATCATCATTTGCTTGCTTCTTAGGGATCATTGTTCCAACTACATCAATGTTGCCATTATTCAGTTTATCAAAACAAATACAACAGTAAATCAAGTAGTCAACATTAATATCCTTAACTACAATTTTCTTGTACATTTGTAATAACAATTCTATCTTTATCCGAATTAATTAGACACTCTTTGTTTTGGAACGTTCCTAATATACTCGACACAATTCCAGTGACAATATTTTTTTTATACAATTTTCAAAAGATTCAAGAATTCAAATTCATTTAAAATTTCATATTTTAAACATTTCCGTGTCAATTTTTCTATCCCACTGACTTTTCATACTCACTCTGTTCCGATTTATATGACACCGTTTGATTCCGTAACGGGTTTAATAAAGAAATAAAGACTTCGAAACTTGTAATCTTAATCAAGCCATAATATTTGTGTAGATAAAAGCCACTCATTGAGGGTTTAATAGTATTTTAAAGTTAAATGATTAAATTACATCCAAATAGAGAAATATGTCATTTTCCTGGAATGGACTAATAGGAAAAATAGTGTCACATAAATTGGAAGTAGAGAACATTAGTTAGTTATATTCTCTACAAACACTAATATAATATAAGTCAAATTAACATATAAACTTGTATCTAGACAAAAATCTAAATAAAGTGGAGTGTATATTTGTTATGTACGTAATCATATATTAGTCAAAAAATGGCAGCCTAATGCATAAGGAATCTCGCATCCGCCCAGGGTTCGTGAAAGTGACGCACCCAAGGGGTATGATATAAACAGACTACACTAATGTAGTGTTTGACAATGATAAAAGTGCTTAAAAGCACTTACTTTTAGGCATGAAAAGTATAAAAATAAGGTAAGAGGGTGTTTGTATTGGCTTTTAAAAATTAGCTTTTAAGCTAAAAGCCAAAAGTCATAAGTTGGTAATACCCAACTTTTGGCTTTTGGCTTATTTTTGTACGCCTAAAAGTAAAGTAAGTGCTTTTAAGCATTTTTTTCGGTGCCAAACACTGCTTCACGGCTCGAACCCGTGACATAAGGTTCCTTTGTAATTATATAATTAGTGCTCGTACATAAAGAAAGCATAACATTGAGAAATTACCCAATTTTCCTCCGGCTGGAACCATGGTTTTGAATTTGGTTAGAGCAGGAACTAAAGTTTCAGTTCGAATCATAGGTGCAATTCTTCTTACCCTTTCACCAAATCCTGCAAATCATAGAAAAATGTGTGAAAAATAAACATAATGTTGAATTGCCGATCCAACAGGAAACCCCATGATTACAAGATTGATGAAATTGTAGAAACCGTACCAGAAAATCTTAAATTCTTTTGTCCTAAAAACTTCCCAAAAACTGATCTTTCGCCTTAGTAGAAGAGAGAGAAGAGATGTTATGTCAGCAGTTCGAAGGTGGTCGGATATTGCAGGAACAAGAGCGTTGGAGAATGTTCTTGAAAGTTCAAGCGGGCCTAGCTGTTGTTTGCCTACAGCCCTGATTTTAATGGGTCTCTATATGGGCCTCATTGTAATTAAGATACTTGGGCCTACGTAGTACTGAGATTTGCTAATAGGCCCATTTTAGTCGGGAGATTTGCAAGAATGGCCTTGAAAGTGGGTAATTTTGAGTTTTTGACCTCACTTGCCTCATCGGCAAAACTTTAAGTTTATCAAGTGTTGCCTCTCATTTGTCTCATGGGCAACACTTTTGACTTTTGACCTTAAAGGTTTGCTCATAGGGGGGCCCGGAACCTAAATGTGGTCTTTGTGGACTCAAATGACCGAAATGAGTGAAAAATAACATTGTGACCAAACACGTTTTGGACGTTACGGTATAGCGCCCTTTAAAAGGGTGGTCTGACTTTAACAAAACTGCCAGGTATAACGCCTTTATAAACGGCGCTATACATATTTTGTGAGCCCACAAATAACTCTTTTGCGCTTAACTGACATAACAATAATTCAAATGAGTATAGCTCCCTTTTAAAGGGCGCTATACCTCAAAAAATTCGAACCCCCGGATTGGGCATTGCCTTATTTAAAGGTGTTAAGGATTTTGCAAAAATTCATTCAGAAATATTCTCTACTCCTATTAAATTTTTCTTCTTGTTAAATTCTCAAGCATTTTGTCATAATGTCTGAAGAGCGAAAAGTAAGGGTTTCATTATATTGGGGGGTGAGGTTGTGGTGGCGAATAACTCAGTGAGCTATAGTTTATCTCCATAGTATCATGTTAAGTTGCCACTTACAATAAAGTACGATAGACTTGTATCGTTGTTGTGTAATAAAATGAGTGTGAGCAAACGTTCGGTGAACCTTAAAGAAACTGGAAGATATCCGTATTCTGTCACTCCGCAAGGGGTTGCTTGTTACGCTGAGTTTAACATCGAGGATGATGAAACTTTGAGTGATTTTTTGAGGACTCCGGATGAATACCGAGAGTTTCTTTTGATAAAAATGTTGGAAATGTACGTGAAGGTTGAAGACATTCACAATAATGAGGTTGCGCAAAGCAGGGATAACCCTCAGTCATCGGGTGGTTATTTTGGAGCAATTTTTGCCGAACAGGTTCCGGCTAAAAGAGTTTGGCTTATTTAAACTTATCTCCACGGGCGAATGAGGAGCGAGAAAATAATTTCTCTCCTACTTTACATAATCCACAAGACGAGTGGTAAACTTCAATTTTTCTTTATGTTATGATGTTTATTTTTGTTGTATTGAATTTGTATTAACACTCATATATTCCACATGAGGTACCAACCAGATATGAATTTTACAAGTCATGAACCCACGCCCAGTTGGAATATGCATAGTTCTGGTGTGTTGGATCATGGTGGTCCATCCGGGAGTCATCACCATTAGGATAATGTCCATCATGGGATGTCAACACATTACGACTTGTAAGTGAAGTGCTATAGCTATATGTAAAGTATTTATCAATTTGAGTAGCTTATTATTTTGTTGTTTGTGCAGTGAAAATGAGCAAGTTGAACCTCCTGTCCTGACTCAATTGCCCGAAGATGACATATTTAATCGGGATATGGCAGATGCACAGAGTCAGAAAGAGAACAGTGATTATAACAACAATGCCGATGAGTCCGGAGATGACACACCCTTCCCTAATGAGGGTGGTGATGAGGAGGAAGAGAATGCTGGACCTGATTTGATGAGGGAGCATGCTCCACCCCTATTAGACCAAGAGCGTACGAGTCCCAAGTGCCGTTTCATTCAAGGGAGATTCCCTACCTTGATTATTTTCCAAGTATGCCGGATGTGGATGCCCTCACAAGGGATATTGATGAAATTCGGACAGTAGTGTGGGATGAGTCTAGACCAACGGTGCTGGCAAATGGCATGCTTTTTCCTGATAAAACGCGCCTAAGCAGGGCGGCGAAAATGTATAACGTAAAAGAGTGTCGTGAGATGACGGTATGAGAGTCAACTCCGGATGTATACAAGATTGTTTGTCGTAGATGGTTTACGGATTGTCATTGGATGCTGCGTACGAGCAAGAAGAAAACATGTATGTGGAAAGTGGGTAAATACATTAGCACCCACACTTATGAAATGGACACATTCAGTGGGAATCACTTCAACTTGGATGTTGGCTTGATTTCTCTTGTCCTGATTTCACACATTGAAGCGTCCATAAGGTACAAGATCAAAGGGTACATTACATCCGTCCACCAGAAATATGGTTGTACCATTACCAAAAGAAAGGCATTTCTTGGGCGCAAACGTGCGTTTGAAATTGTTTATGGTAACTGGGATAAGTCATTTGCAGTTCTACCCAAGTACATGGCCTCATTGCAACACTTTAACCCCGGGACCGTTGTTGAATGGAAACTTGAGCGGATTTCGGGAATACCAGAATATATATTCAAATACGTGTTTTGGGCATTTAAACTAGCAATTGATGATTTTCTGCATTGTCGGCCGGTAATATCCATAGACGGCACTCATGTCTATGGAAAGTATGATGTTAAGCTGTTGATCGTCGTTGTAGTAGATGCTAATGGAAGTATATTTCCTTTAGCTTTTGCTATTTATACCAATGAAAGCCAAGAGACGTGGACACTATTTTTGAACCACTTGAAAGAGCACGTTATCAAACAACGTTCAGGTATTTGTCTAATATCTGATGTGCATGGTGGTATTATAAGTTCTGTAGAGAATTTGCCTGCATGGCAAGAACCGTATGCCTACCACCGTTACTGTGTGAGGCACCTGAAGGCCAATTTCCAGAAGGCACATCCCAACAAGGATTTGCATGATTTAATGTGGATGGTTCCAACAGATCGCCAAGAGCATAAATTCCAGAGGCACATGGAATCTATCAGGCAGGGAGACGAGGCAGCCTATCGTTGGTTGATGTGACATAAGCCTGAAAAGTTGACTTTGCATGCGGATGGTGGCAGAAGATGGGGAATTCTGACTAAAATGTGTCAGAGTCTTTCAACGGGTTATTGAAGTCTGCAAGAGGATTGCATGTCACTGCCATGGTGCGTATGTCATTCAAGTAGATGGCGGAGAGGTTTGTTGAAAGGGCTGCAGCTGCAACGTCATTGATGGAAAGGGGTGTTGAATTTATGCCACTACCAATAAAAAGATTTGAGAAATACAGGCGGCGAGCACATTGGCATTCATTTTTATAGTATGGTCACGACTTAAATGGTTTTGAAGTTCACACCGCTATCCATCAAAA